AAGCGATAAACACCCGATGACACAAAGTGCCACCATGTGGATGAGGATCGCCGTGGAGATGTCCCAGAAACCGCGTTCAGACATTTGGCCATATGTGTGGGCTGCCTATATTGCGGCCCCTGGCAAAAGCCAGAGCGGGGCTTCAAATAACAAAAAAATTACGTCCTAAATAGGACGTAAGGATATTGTCTATGTGAGAATCTGACTGACTTTCTACCCCACCAGGAGATCACACAAGCGACAAACACCCGATAACACAAAGTGCCACCATGTGGATGAGGATCACCGTGGAGAGGTTCCAGAAACCGCGTTCAGACAATTGGCCATATTTATGGCCTGCCTATATTGCGGCCCCTGGCAAAAGCCAGAGTGGGGCTTCAAAAAAAAATTTCTTCCTGAAAAGGACGTATGAGTATATATATAACCAGCTCAACAGTTAACACCAACTGTAACTTTGTTGTTTTGTGTTTGGAAAAGGACATTGCAGCCTTGTATAATACATAATGTGCCAGTACAAACAACTGCTGAAATAAGCCCAAACAATGTGGAGATTTCCAGCAATAGAATCAACAGCCAAGAAAGCCAGATTCAACAGAGAAAACACATTAGATATAAATAAACTTTAACATCATAACACGCACAACGGGAGATAATTCAGTACTAGTTTTATTAAATCACAGAGGGGAAATAATTTATATCAAATTTACACAATTTTTTTCTGCAACTCATTTGCCTTCATTTATTCACAATCACACACTCGGGGTTAATATCAACAATTGATATCAGCTGGATTCAAAACAAATTCAACAAGAGAAAACATATTTTGCCACACCCGATCGGAATCAACATAACTTTAAGCTCTAAAGAGGTCAAGAAAACCTAAACAGAAAAGAGAAACCTGATTGACTGGATAAGTCAGCAAATTATAGCACTCAACTTGTAATTTTATAAGTCCTTACGTCCTTTTCAGGACGTAATTTTTTGTTATTTGAAGCCCCACTCTGGCTTTTGCCAGGGGCCGCAATATAGGCAGGCCATAAATATGGCCAAATGTCTGAACGCGGTTTCTGGGACCTCTCTACGGTGATCCTCATCCACATGGTGGCACGTTGTGTCATTGGGTGTTTATCGCTTGTGTGATGTCCTGGTGGGGTAGAAAGTCAGTCAGTCAGCCACTCAACTCATTTTATCCGCGCTGCTCCAACACCGCACTAGAGGTTCAGTCAGTAACTGTTTTGTGGTGCCCTAGTATAAATGTGCGATATGGCTACAAGGTTAAACAGGGGTTTTTAGGATTTGTACTGGCTCTTTTCTCATTCTTGAGATGCCAATACTAGAGACTGTAATCCTTGAGGGAATACACTCTAATATATATATATATATATATATATATATATTATATATACACACACACACACACACAAGCACATTCGAGAACAGATTATCATACAGATATATTTCCCATATTCAAACAGTAATGAATAGAAGACTTTATCAATTACCAGTGATGTAACCAGAAGCACTGTTAACAAACTTGTAAAGATCTTGTAACTTATGCACTGTTGCTTCAGTAGTAGAAATCTTGTAACTTTTGCACTGTTGCTTCAGTTGTACAGATCTTGTAACTTGTGCACAGTTGTTTTAGTTGTACATTTTTTGTAACTAATGACTAATGCACTGTTACTTCACTTTTGCAGATTTTGTAAATGCCTTTAAATTAGTGCAAATGCTGTGCTTGTTACGAAGTCGGGCCCAGAAAGAGTGTGACTTCCCTTGCCATTCATGCCTTGTAGTGTCACAGTGTCTGTCCTATGTTGGGAAGGCTTAGTGACTGGCCAGCAACTGCTACATATTTTTTGCTGTTGTTATCAGTGGCTGGTGATATCGCGTCTTCTATGTACCAAGATGTGAGCACTTTTAACTAGGGCTGTACATAATATTCGCTTCGTACTCGCTTCAGGGCCGAATAGTGGACCTAATATCTATTCGGTTTTCAGCCGAATAGATACTGTCAGGCCGAAAACGAATAGTGGTTACCTTACACCCATTTCTGCATACACTGTGATGGACTAAAAAAAACTATCTAATTAACACAATAGTTGCTGTTGCCTAAGTCAGTTTCGTGGTACAGCAGCTGGCAAGGTCTTTGCCTGCTGACTCGACCAAGGCATTACAGCAGAGGTTCTCAAACTGGGTGCCTATGCCAGGGGTGCTGCGGTCAAAATAAAAAAAAGTCGGCTATAAATTGTGACATTATTTCTAGGTAAATTTACATTCAGTAGTTTGCCATTGCTTCTGGACGGTCGGCTTCTTTGATACCACGGTCGAAACCAACGCAAGGCACATGGCCTGCAGCTGGGATCGAACCCGGCATCCCGGCATTACGAAGCGTTCTCATCGACTTAGCTACAGAGCCGATTGGTTTTACATAACAATGCTTAAAATATTTTGAAAAGCTAAAAAAAAAAAAAAAGCAACCAGGAGGTTTTGAAAGAGGCGGAAGCCCGAAGACAACTAATCACAGACACCAGAAGGAGACAGTCATCATTTTTCGGCCATGTAATGAGAAGACGGAAAATGGAACATGTGGTGACCACTGGAAAGATCTTTTGAAGGAAGGATAGAGGAAGACAACGAGAGAAGATTCTTGACAGTCTTGTTGCATGGCATGGAGGTTTGTCAGCACACGAACTAATACATGCTGCAGGAGATCGCAGAATGTGGCGAGGTATAATCGCCCATACCAGTCGGCAAGGCACCTGATGATGATGATACACTATTCGTATTCATATTCGTATCGGCCGAATAGTTGGTTCAGCTATTCGTATTCGGCCAAATAGTGAAAATCACTATTCGGTACAGCCCTACTTTTAACAGTCTCAAAACATGTAGAACTGACCCTAAACCTAACCTCCTACACCACAGCCTCAGCCTACGACCCACAACTGCATGCAGCTATGACAAAAATGAGTAAAATGTGTCCTGTTGCTGGTCAGTCACTAAGTGTGACAACTCCCGTAATCTAGGACAGGCCCTGAGACACTACAAGGCATGAATGACAAGGAAAGTCACTCTCTTTCTGGGCCTGACTTTGTTACTGTAACTGAAAATGCTTCAACAACCAGCAAAACTGATACATAATCCCAACATTTTCAGACCCAGGCAGATGGTGCTGGCGCATATGCATGCAATTCCTAGCTTTCTGATCCACCTCTTACCTATTTACTACACTCTTCATTGTCAGCATGTCATACTCATGAGGTTCATTGTTGCAGATATCACCCCCTTATATTCATATCTATAACTGACCGTCTATTTACAGTTGGTGACTCCAAGTACCTGTAGGTCTTTTTCTTCTTCTTCTTCTTCTTCTTCTTCTTCTTCTTTTTCTTGTTTTCTTTTCCTCTCGTCCTGTACCTGTCTTTCAGCATAATGTTTTAGAGACAAGCCTTGGTATGTGCTAGGTAGATGCTGGTATTTTCTGCCTAGGATATCCATCTATCCATCACTTGCCTGGTCAACCTCTCTGCTTCCATTATGTCCGAGTGACAGGGCTCTCTGTGGTTCACTATCTAGTGGAAACCTTGAGACATGTCCAAACCATCTGATCTGTTGTCTTTTCATTAGTTTAGTACTGGTTCCACCCCAACGTCTTTCCTGATATTGTCATTTCTGATCCTGTCTCTTCTAGCTAAATTTAGAATTCTTAGTAGACATTTCATTTATGTTGTTTTATTTTGTTGTTGTTGTTGCTTAAGTTAATGTTGGAGATTGGTAACATAATGTTGGTAACAATATTGTATTGAATTGTGCCCTTCTGGTGTCAGTTGTTACATCTTTATTCTGCAAACATCTAACAATTGACATCAAATGGGCACAATTCAATACAATCTTTGTACCAACATGTGTAGGTCAGCTTGTGTATTATTATTCCACATTTTTCTTGGTCTGCCTCATTGCCTTCCCCTCATTTAACTTCAGACACTGAAGCAACTGAAAGCTTATGTTTGTTTTAAACAGCCCTCACATATTCTCTTGTTCAGAAACATACTTCTAAAACATTTGATAACAGAGTGTAAAATGTGTCATATTCTAAGAGTACCTGGACTATCCCAAGCACTCTAAGCACTATAAGAAAACTTTCATAAAGAAACTATTCCAAGCACTCTAAGCATTGAAAAGAAACTCTTGTAAAGAAACTATACTCAGGTCAGTCTAAAATTAGACCAAGTGTTTATGCAGACCTACATGTATCTCATAGGTCTAGTAAAACATCTAAATTAAATAGATAATTACATATCTACGCTCTCATCTACAACATCTACTTTACACATGGCTTATTTCTCTTTTCAGTCTCAATTTGCACTGAGACACACAACCTGAGGGCTCATTCTCTCAGCTGATACCTTCCTAGAAATTTAGCATACACACTTTCATACATATATATATATATATATATATATATATATATATATATATATATATATATATATATATATATATATATATATATATATATATATAAATTATATATATATATATATATATATATATATATATATATATATATATATATATATATATATATATATATATATTCACTCTCTCCCTCTCTACATATCACAGATCATCATCATCAAGCACCTTGCCAACTGGCATGGGTGACCCTGCCGCTCTTCAACCTGTGATCTTCATCCAACTGCATGAATCACATATTTTTACAACAAAACAGCCATTTTGGAAATAGAGATGAGACCAAATCTGTCACTGAACTTATATAATTCTCCCTCAAAATCCGGTTTACTTTAAAATTCTTCAAATTGGCACGACATTCTTTAAACTGGCGCAATTTTCTTCAGACTGGCACATCATTCTTTAGACTGGTGTGACATTCTTCAAACTGGCAGTAACATCCTGGCCTTGAATCTGTCTAGCCAGATTTTTTAACATACACCAGCTAAAGTAAGGAAAAGCTGTGAGCAAAGAAACACAGAAGATGGTCAGACTCCTGTTTCTAGAACTCCATGCTTTTGTAGTCTTTCAGCATCCATCATCTCCCACCTGGCGCGGTTGTCGATGACCCCATCCAACATGGGTTTGAAGAATGGGTTCAGTGTGGCCAGCGTCTGGGGAAGTTGTAGTACATCAAATGAGAACATTATCTGGCATAGACAGAAGTATAAATATTGTTTTAAAAAAAAAAAAAGTCCAGATTTGATTTCCAAACTTGACTTGTGAAAATACACAATGGCAAAAATAAGTATTTTAATTTCCCCCATCTTGAAATAATTAAATGTGTGTGTGTGTGTGTGTGTGTGTGGGGGGGGGGTGGGGGGTGACTTGAAAATGTCTGCACTGTGTCCACCACCTGACCTTACTAAGCCACCGCCAGTTCGTTTAATCTCTAAGAAGTAATAATTAGAGCACCCTTAACAGCTATATCAGCTAGGTTTAATCTATAGTCTTATGTGGGTAGTAATTAGTGCCAATGGCACATTAAGCTGGCACAGCAGCATTCTGGCATGGCTCGGGGAAAGTCTCTTCACTGAAACAATTACTGAAAACTCGTAGACAACATTCAGATGTCACAGTCTTGTTGCGCTAGTAGCTTTTGTCTCTGGGCCTTTCATAGTCCAGTTGCAGTTAGAGCAAGGTGCTGGGGTAGGCATACCTTGAATAGTCTCTTCTGAACATGAAAAGCCTTTTTTGCCCACACCTTCAGCAAAAGGTGAGAGTTTTAATGTTCCACAAGGTTGTATTATGTCTCCTGACATCCACCCCTCCCTCAGTGAAATAACAATGAGAAATCTAAAAGTAAGTTAAATAACAACGCTGGTCATAACATTGAACAGAGTGGTGTTGAGTTAAGAATCAATATCCTAATGCTTAGGAAAATCCCATAACCACTTTGTCCTCATCTTCAGCAGCCAACACAGAGATCAAAGTCTGATGGTACCAGTGGTAGTCTGTATGTCAATCTTAACTTGAAGAAGATAATGTATGCACATATTTCAGTACCGACTGCAGACAGTTAGAAACACATACCTTGTACAACCATAGATGGCTTGCTACAAACCCTGTACAATCACAGGGAAAGACATCTATATCGTCTACAGTTACAAATAAGACACACATACTGTGTACAGTTACAAATAAGACACACAAACCATGTACAGTTACAAATAAGACACACAAACCATGTACAATTACAAATAAGACACACATACCATGTACAATTACAAATAAGACACACATACCGTGTATAGAGGTAAGCAGATCCCATCGATCCAGGACAGCTGTAGTTGAGCAACTTGGTCCTGCTTGTCTCTGTCCATGCATGCCTGACATAAATTATACATCCAGTTAGTAACTACTCATACAACTACAAATTCTACTTTTACTAATACTAACACCATCACCATGATCACCACTTCCACTTTTCCTGCTCTGCTACTACTGCTGTTGCTACTACTGCTGCTACTACTGCTGCTGCTACTACTAACATGGTTGCCACTACTGCTATCACCAAAACCACCACCACCACCTCTGCTACTAACATTACCACTGCTACTAATGCGACTACTGCTACCACAACTGCTGCAATGGCAATTATAGCTGCCCCTGCTATTACTTCTACTACTACTGCTACAACAGTAACAGCACAACAACAACAACTACTACTACTACTATAATACCAACTTCTACTACTACTGCTACAACAGTAACAGCACAACAACAACAACAACAACAACACTAATTACTACAATAACAACTTTTACTAGTGCTGCTACAACAATAACAGCACAAGAATCACTACTACTACTACTTCAATACCAACTTCTACTACTACTGCTACAACAGTAACAGCACAACAACAACAACTACTACTACTATAATACCAACTCCTACTACTACTGCTACAACAGTAACAGCACAACAACAACAACAACAGCAACAGCAACACTAATTACTACAATAACAACTTTTACTAGTGCTGCTACAACAATAACACAGCACAACAAGAATCACTACTACTACTACTTCAATAACAACTTCTACTGCTACTGACACAACTACTACTGTTTTCCAACTCCATTTAGGTGCACTGAGTATATCATGCGAACTAAAATTGTAAGATTAGCTGACATTTACTGGATCACATGTTCAAATTTACATGCCAGACACTGTTCTATTATTCGTTGTTGGTCGCATCGACTGGCAGCAAAGTAAAAAAAGAAAGATTGCCTGCTCTGAGGAGGATTTATTCCCATACCCCCATCAGGCAAGGGTGCAACTTACTGGGCCACCACATATCCCGCACATTCAACCTATCATTGTTAATCAGAGTTAATCAGAGTAATCTGAGAGTTAATTAGAGTTCATCAGAGCTAATCATTGATTTTTATAGTAATAAGAGTTAATTAGAGTACATCCGAGCTAATCATTGATTATTATAGTAACCAGAGTTAATTAGAGTTCATCTGAGCTAATCATTGATTATTTTAGTAATTAGAGTTAATCACTGATAATTAACAGAGTTAATCAGAGTTAATTAGAGTAAACGTTAGAAATATTGCACAATAGAGAACCCTGTCAGGTAGACACAATGGAAGCAGATCCAGAGGTAGTCAATGAAATTGATGGATAGATGGAATTTCTAGACAGCAAACACCAGCATCTAACATGGCTGACACTTATTCTCTCTTTAAAACCTAATGCTGAAAGGCCAAACATGATCTAGAGAAAAAGAAGACTGAACAGGGATAATTTTGTGGCAGCAAACTTAGCAGCCTATTCTTTTAAAGCCATTTGATATCACTTTCAATAGAAGCCTGTCCTGGGAGATCATGTGGAAGCTGTCGCGTTGAAATGCCAAAAAAAGACTCAATGCACTTAAGGTTATTGGGGGAAAAAAGAATGTTGTTTACAATGTTCCAGCATGTGATCCTGTCGGTGATAGATTATGGACTTGGAATAGATTATGGACTTGGAATGCTTAACATATCAAAGAGTCAGCTGATGAAACTTGAATGCATACAGAATGATGCCATGCGGGTAATTCTGGGATGTACAAGAGATACCCCGGTAGTATGGATGTGATGTATACTTGTACTGCCTTCTATTGCAGACAGGCTCAAAGTGCTGCAGGTAGATAAGAAACAACTTTGGCATAAGGCCCTAGACAGAGCTAAAGGTTACAGACTGAAAAGACGAAGATCTTGGATGGCGCAAACTGAAGACACAATTAGACTTGTGTGTAGGCTTGATAACATTGAGCGAGGAGAGGAGTAGGTCAAGGTGTCCAAACAGGTTTCAGATTGTGTAGGGTTCTAATCACTTAGAGTCATGTGTGCAGGGACTGGTCATCTGGTGCTGCAGAATCAGAAGTTCATTAAATGATTCATGATAATTCCCGCCCAGGTTATGTAATTATCTATACAGAGGCATGATTGACTGACCGACTTTCTACCCCACCAGGACATCACACAAGTGATAAACACCTGATGACACAATGTGCCACCATGCGGGTGAGGATCACCGTGCAGAGGTCCCAGAAACCGCGTTCAGCCTTTAGGCCATATTTTTGGCCAGGCTATATTGCGGCCCCTGGCAAGAGCCAGAGTGGGGCTTCAAATAACGAAACATTTCATCTAAAAAAGATGAGGAATGGACACTAAGAGAGTCAGACAAAGTGCATAGAGATTCATAACAAAAGTGAATGAACGTCTCTTAGTGCAACAAAACCTGGGTTATGATATCACAACATCTAGCTTAAGAATGGAGGTGAAGGTAGTTACTGCAGCCTTTCGCTGTCTTGAGAATCGCTGTACACACATGTCATAATTGTAACCGACTCACGGAGCATGTTGAGGAAAGTGAAGAACAGCGTGCTATATGAAGATGGCAAGCATCGTTTCAGAGGTTTCAAGTAGTTAGCACCCTTTGGATATTTTCCTGAGATTATTCCTGTGTATTAAGAAATGAATAGGCAGATAGACTGATGCATGAAAAGCTAAATCTTGTAAGGGCCTTTTGGGGGGTGAGGGAACAGGGCAGAAGCACAGATGGATCAATCATCTTGGAGAGAATGGTAGTGTGAGGAGTGACCTGAGGAGGGGGTCGAAGATCAGCACTCAATGAAGATGTTAGAGGAATTAACTATCAGTCTGTTATTGTCACTAATGTTATCGGAACTCTGCACTTGCTGCTGAAGATGGGGACGAAGCACTTATGGAAATGTCCTAAGTATTGGGATGTAGATTCTTAGTTAAACAATAAACATATAGAAGACTTTGTAAACCAGTCCCATCCTTTGTTAACTGTTTATAGTTTAACTAGGCAATTTTTACATTCAGTAGTTTGCCATCACTTGTGAGTGGTCAACATTGTGGAAATCAATGCAAAATAGTCTGCTGCCAAAATGCCCACAGCTGAAACTGAACATGGTATCTCAGAATCACAAACCATGTTTGCAACCACTAGGCCACAGAATCTGCCCCTTCCATACCTGAGGCTGAATGTTGAGCTCATGTTTCTCCTTGTCTCCTTGTTCAAAGAATTCACTGATCACCAGGTCTGACACCTGCAGGGCATCAAACAAACAAACAACATCAACACATTTACAATTTTTGTTCTAAGTAAAAAGTCATTTAGAAAAATTAATACTTTTCTTCATTTACTTAGTGTTTGATTGATGTAAACTTTGACAGAAATTGTCATTTAGAAAAATTATTACTTTTCTTCATCTACTTAGTGTTTGATTGATGTAAACTCTTACAGACATGTATGGTTATTCATCCACCTCTGGACTTTGTTTTGTTCCAGAAGCCGAGTTTTACATGCACATCCATTTTACAGATCAAGGTTATTTGTATGCAGACTGTTGGTTTCTCCTTTACATGCAGATGCGCTCTGATCTTGAAGGAAATCGCTCCCTAATTTGTTGCCCTTTGCGATATGCCTGTCAGGGCTAGTATTTCACAATGAACTTCAAAATGGCATACAAGACTTAGTCATTGTTCTGTGAATGAAAAATACTTACACAGTTTTATATTGTTGTTAAAGTAAACTGTTCGTGATTATGTTTTTGTTTAAACCACATTCAGACATTCCTCAAAATGTTTATTATTTGAAAAATTAATTCATTCATATTGAAACAGAATTATTATTCTTTAAAATGTAATAATTTAGCTGTGTTAATTTTTAATTTTTTTTTTACTGCTTGAGAGACTTCTTACAAGACACTTTCATCAAATGACGTCTGTTTTGAAATGCTAATTGTACCTTTCTCTTGACTTCCCTGAAATGCTAAGGGTACTTTTCTCTGGACTTAGCTACCTGAAATGCTAAGTGTACCTTTCTCTGGACTTCCCTGAAACAGTAAGTGTACCTTTCTCTGGACTTCCCTGAAACGCTAAGAGTACCTTTCTCTGGATTTCCCCGAAACGCTAAGTGTACCCTCCTCTGGACTTCCCTAAAACAGTAAGTGTACCCTCCTCTGGACTTCCCTAAAACAGTAAGTGTACCCTCCTCTGGACTTCCCTGAAATGCTAAGTGTACCTTTCTCTGAACTTCCCAAGGCTTGGATATGGCTGCGATGTCACAGGAGGTCATCAGAATACTGCGGAAGACCTCCCTGGATTCACGATCCTCAAACGACCTCTGACCTGATTCTACCATGGCAAAGAATTTATCTCTGATTCTGTAGAAAAAAAGAGAAACATATTACCTTGGTCAGAGGGAGCCATAGATGTAACCAGGACATATGAAGGTATTAATTGTGTCTGAGAAAGTTTAGAAAAATGGTACAACGTGTAGCTATAGTCTCTAGTTCAAGGAGACCTTGTCCAAAAAAAACTCTTGGTACCACAAGTGTCAGAATCGATGGGGCTTAAGCAATTAGAGGCACTTTGCAAGAGTGTTAGGGGGTCGCCTTTAAACATTTATTGTAATTTTCTTTAGAGGCATTTAAATAAAAATACATTTTATTTTAAGAATAGTATTAAGTAGGAAGCGGCGTCCGTGGCTTAGGCATTGCGAGTTGGACTCGTAATTCCAACGCACAGCTATCGAAACCCACTGCAGGCTGTGTGGATTTTTATCATGGTATGGGGCGTCACAGGTTGACCCAGCCTAAAATGTGTAACAGGATGTATGTCCTGGGGAAGTTAGGACAGCAGGTGTAATACTAACCACAATACCCACCTAGTACCAATTGGTCTGTAAAAAATATGGGTGCTCTTCCCACATTCCCGATGCACCTAAAGGTATAAAAATGGATCTTTACTTTTACTTATTAGGCAGGAAGATGGGCACAGGATATAAATGACTGCTTGCATATGAAAGTACACGAGGCGGCAGAGTTGGTGAAGGACCGAGTTTCTTTCGAGCAGACAATGATAAGAGCAACGTTCTGCAAAGGACCGACTATATGGTGATGACAGTATTCTTTTTATTTACTATTCAACTTTTTAATAATTCCAAACAATGTTTTCTCGCTGTACATTTTAATAATGTGGACACAAATAATATATTGCACAGTTTATTTTGCTGTGTCTTGTCAGGTGCATTAGTTCTGAGTTACATCAACATATCATGCTGCGCAAAATTATTCTTTTTCTTGCTGAAATGCACAAAACACATTGTCGCGTTGCTGTACAACTAACAACCAGAAATGCAAAAATCTGTAATTTGATCGCCATGGTAACTCAAAATTTATCACGTGATCTTTCTGTTTACACAACATAGAAGAGTACTGACACAGCCTCGAAAAAATACATTAATATTAATAATAACAATAACTTGTTAAATATTAAATAAATAAAATATACTTGAAATAATATTAATTGTATGAAAAAAAAAATCCTTTTAAAGATAATTTCTTTACATGGTTAAAAGAGATCTTTTAGAACTCTTACAAAATTACAGTGCAACCTTTGCCCCCAAATGCAAAGGAAAATCTGACAGGACCCCAACATCCCGCCACTTTTGTCCGGACAATTAAGACGGGGAGGCAGTGAGCGTCCCGAACTCCGCCCTCCACCCAATTCATGTTTTTTAATGTGTGCGCCTAGGTGGCACTTAAGGATATTATACAAAATGTAAAAACACTGAGTCTTTTAGAACTTACTGCATGTGGAGCGACAGATCAGTTGCCAGAATGGCATGTTTCAATAATATGGTCACCTCACTGAAGTCTTCTGAGCCGAGGTTGCCAAATAAATTTGTTCCCTGCAAAGGCAAACCTTTATTATAACTTTGTTTTCAGAAACTTATTTCCCTCTCCTTCGCAGTTCTCACTCGACCACCATATCCATCCATGATTACAATAAAAACATAAGATGGTTTTGACAATAGGGCAGATATTGTCAGTGTCTTCTTTTGGGAGCACCTGGACACTGGGGAACAGGGAAGAGTAAATCAGTCTTGTTGTAGCTGTTGTCGTTGTCAATGTCGTTGTTGTACTTCTTCTTCTGTTACAAGAACATGACATGCTTTATTGATAAAAATACAACTACTGTATGAAAGACAGGCCTGCGTGCCTATTTTGTGAACCTTTGAAAATTAAGTTTGTTCGTTCGTTTGTTCGTTCTTCTTCTTCTTCTTCTTCATCATCATCATCATCATTATCTTCTTCTTCCTTCTTCTTCTTCCAGTTCTTCTTCTTCCTCATCCTCCTCTTCTTTTTGTACTTCTCTTCTTCACTCCCTTTTATAAGGGTGGTGGTAAAAAATGTACTGTGGTTTACAGATGGGTTATGATATCTCAATCTTTTAACCCAAAACATCTCATTTCAGCAAACTCCTTCCTTAATCACTTTTTAGGACATGCTTGTTAGGGAGGCAGTGGTGCCCTGGAGCTTCATACATGGGGCAGTCACAGTTTGATTAATGAGACAAGACCAGAAGATCATCAAAGTGAGATTCAGCGACGGTCAATGCTCAAAGCAAAGGGAAGACACAACTAACTATTTGAAAGATTCAACTAACTATATGCAAGTTACAGCAAGCTATGAGCAAGGTACATCTCACTAAATGGAGGAGGTAGGACCAAGAAATAACCACATGGTTGCAGTACAACTAAGCACACTGTTGAAATATGAGCCGCCAGTTGATACGAGAGGCCAGCTTTTCCTTCTGTCGAGACCAGCATACCCCCGTGTTGAGGTACTGCTATCATCCACCAGTTGATACGAGAGGTCAACTTTCCCTTCTGTCGAGACCAGCATACCCCCGTGTTGAGGTACTGCTATCATCCACCAGTTGATACGAGAGGTCAACTTTCCCTTCTGTCGAGACCAGCATACTCTAGTGTTGAGGTACTGCTATCATCCACCAGTTGATACGAGAGGCCAGCTTTCCCTTCTGTTGAGACCAGCATGCCCCAGTGTTAGGTATACAACTTTGTTGGGTATACAGTTTGCTTAACTGATGCAGTAGAACTGACCGCCCCTTTCCCCGCCCCTTCCCCCCCCCCCCCCACCTCGTTGTGAAACAAATGACCTCGCCATTAAAATTCAACCGATTCCATTGTTGATTCACAGCTGACCCCACTGTTAGACATACATTACCCCACTGCTGACATACAACTGATCTCACAATTTAGATACAAGTTGAGATACAATAACAAACTTAAATGTTGAGATACATCCGACCCCACTGTTAAGATTCAACAATTTACTTAACTGTTGACATACAACACTGAGATTAAACAACAATTTAAATTGCTGAGATAACTGATGCCACTTTTGAGAATCAACAACAAACGTTACTGGTGAGACACAATCTAGAAACCACTATTGATATTCAACAACAATCTCAACTGTTTGCAATACGTTACCCCACTGCTGAGATTCAACAACAAACTCAACTGTTGAGATGCAACTTAACCCACTATTGAGATTCAACAACAAACTCAACTGTTGAGATGCAACTTACCCCACTGTTGAGATTCAACAACAAACTCAACTGTTGAGATGCAACTTACCCCACTGTTGGGATACAACAACAAACTCAACTGTTGAGATACAACTTACCCCACTGTTGAGTATCATAATAGCATGGTTAAAATGATGATATTCCAGGGTAGCCTTAGTCCCATACAGTTGGGACAAGGCAGAACTGGATCTGTGGACAACAGTCAGGTTAGGCTGTGTTATCCCGTGACTATAAAATAAGGCACTTTCAAATAAAGAATTAAATATAGAAATTGCAATAACCATGGCACTGTCTTGTGAGCTGTCAGTACTGTTGTTAAGGATGGCAACAGTGTTAAGCATGCAATATCACAGTGCAGATGAACACGATCAAATATTTCTTCTTTTGCTGCCTTCTACCCCCTGTTGGAAAGAATGTCCGCAATCAACTCATACTAAGAATTAATCGAGTAACAGAAAGTGTATTGATCGGCACTCATAGAAAGAAGTAGAAAGATAGAAGAACACACTAGACAGCATAAAAATCAAAAGCTTTAGTTACCGTGCCGGGAATTGAACCTGTCACCTCCAGACGGCTTCTGCGCCTCGCCATGAATACAAGTGCACTAAGAACATGGTCAACTAGGCACTCCCAAAAAAAAAAGGTGTCTTATTGGCCATGTCTATCGTACAGCTTGAAATCCACAACTATGGAATATGGACAGAATTCAGTTCAACCCATTGAAATGGCACCATAGGTTAGAGAAATTTAAATTAACGAAGCATTTTTTTTTTTTGGGGGGGGGGGGTGCCTAGTTGACCATGTTCTTAGTGCACTTGTATTCATGGCGAGGCGCAGAAGCCGTCTGGATGTGACAGGTTCAATTCCCGGCACGGTAACTATAGCTTTATATTTTTATGTGGTCTAGTGTGTTCTTCAATCTTTCTACTTCTTTTTATGAGTGCCGATCAATACACTTTCTGTTATTCAAAATTAATTCATAATATTTAACGGCGTCAAAGGTTCCCCCTCTGTTCATTTATAGAAACTTATACTAAGTATGTTTTGCTATTGTGTGCTGCCCACTCAAGGCGCTCACTATTTTTTTAACGTCATTCTCTGGCATGGTGACAGTTTGAAGATGGCCGCCCCACCTTTGACATGAACAAAGAGGATCAGCGATAGGGTTTAACTTATAGAAATTCACCAAGTATGGTGGTGCATGCCTGTCACTCCAGCGAGCGTGTGAGCGGATACAACAGTGCTGCTCAACTCTGGTGCATGTCAAAGGTGAGGCGGTCATGGTTTTTGCATTTTCTATAAAACTGTTAAGGTTTTAATGTGAAGCGCACTCGTAGAATTCTTGACCGTTAAAGGTAAACTTTCTACGCTTCTGGCGCACCCGGCAGGGGATGCTAAACTCGTATTTTACAGATCAATTGGCACTCATGACTACCGCCCCATTTACTTCCCATGACATTAACTGGTACATTTTAGGCTAGGTTGACATAGGAGCCGGGTTCAGTACTAAAAGACTGAGACGTGAACCGCCCTTCAAACCACAACATTAGGGCCGGCACTGCTACATCAGCGAGGCCCACCCTTCGATGTAACTCTGCTATTTTGTGTTTCACTAAATGTAGTGATTAACTCCCTTCCTATCACAGTTGTTAACTGACAGCATTGTCACCGGAATTAATCACTTGACAGGTCCATCAAATAAAGCCCGGCTGTAATGGATCATCATCTGCTGTCTATGGGTGTACATTCAGACAGACTGCTATTCGGTAACCTGTGATACCACTTGTATTATTGTCCACCTCTTGCTCACCTACTTAATTTTTTCCCCTAAGTATAATTATTTGCAAGCGTCTTTGACATGTCTGACTTATTATCCATTTCTTTTATGCATTTTTCTTTCTTGCTTTTTTTCTTCTCCTTGGGAACCGACACAGGAGAACACCTGTGTACGACTGGTTGCATTTTGCTGCCAAACATATCTAGCAAGCATGTCTAAAAGGCAACTAATAAAGGGTAAGCTACAAAATCAGATGCCATGGATCAAAAGGTGCAGGTATCGCTGCCTAGCTGTAAACGACAACGTAGCGTACCAACTGTTCTTGTAAGGGCGAACGCAGAAGAAGAAAAAGAATAAGAAGAAGAAGAAGAAGAAGAAGAAGAAGAAGAAGAAGAAGAAGAAGAAGAAGAAGAAGAAGAAGAAGAAGAAGAAGAAGAAGAAGAAGAAGAAGAAGAAGACATAACAAACAAGGAGGAGTATGAAGAAGAAAAAGACGGAGAAGGAGGAGGATGAGAAAGAGGAAGAAACGACTGCACAAGATATAATGGAGTGGATGAATAAACTCTGAGCCCTATGTGACATATATTAAGATGATGATGAGAATGATCATGAGAAGGATACAAGTTGTAATGATGACAATGACGATGATTATGATAAAGGACAGGTTATGGAAGCTTGTTGTTCCCAATAGCAACCTACTTCTGCTGGAAGGCGTTGTTGGTGCCTCTGTGGTCAAGGTCATGGCACAAACAGGCAACTATCAGTGCCAGGATTTCGTTGTCTGTCAGGTCAACTTGGCATTTACAGTCCTGGAACGTGGAAAGAAAATCTGGAATGTAATTTTATAATTTTACCATAGTTGTGAATTACATATAATCTGGCTCGAAGTTTTCAGGAAATCTGCAGTTACTACAAGAGTCAATGTTTTCTTTTAAGATGGTGTGTGCCTGAGAACATTACTGCAACACCACTAACTACTACTATTACTGCCACTACTACCACCATTATCATCATGTAGCAGGTCCTTTGCAGAACGTCGCTCTCATCACGGTCTGCCTGAAAGAAATTCTGTCTCTCGCCAGTTTTCCTGCCCCATGTACTTTCATACTCAAGGAGTCACTTATATCCTGTGCCCATCTTCGTGTAAGTCAGCCCCTGCCCCTCCTTCCTGGTACCATGCCTTCTGCTATAATTTTGTCCAACCCGTCGTGGTGCTTGAAATGACCAAAATATTTCAGCTTCTGAGACAGGATGCTGTTTATTAGCCAATCTTCCTTGATGTTAAGATCTTTCAAGATGTCAGTATTTCTCCACTTCTTTGTCCAAGATATTCTGAGTAGTATGTAGCCACAGGGAAGATGCATGATCTCAAAATTATAATTTCTAAACTACTACCACCACCATATTTATTACTATTACTACTACTACCACATCACTATATCTACTACTACGATTAACACCACCTACACCACAACAATTACTACTTCTACTACTACTACTACTACCACCACCACCACCACTAGTACTACTACCACTACTACTACTACTACTACTACTACTACTACTACTACTGCTGCTGCTGCTGCTGCTGCTGCTGCTGCTGCTGCTGCTGCTGCTACTACTACTACTACTACTACTACTACCACTACTATCACTACTACTACTCTACTACTACTACCAATACTACCACTACTACTACTCTACTACTACTAATACTACTACTACTAATACCACTGCAACTACTACAACCACCAACACAACAAGAACTACTACTACCAAAGCCACTAACACCACCACCTTTACTACTAACACAACTAACACCACCACCACAACCGCTACTATAGCTACCATTATCCCCACCACAATAACTACCTCTTCCCCGTGCAGGGCCAAATTGGAAGGGGGGTGGCAGGGGGAGATAAACAAACTGCTTCCCTCCCTACGTGCATTTCATAAAAGATAACTAATTTTTTCATTTATTTCATTAAATTATTTCATTCGAAGGAGTATGTCTGCCTGAGAGGTGATTGACCAACAGTCTGCAAACAATAAGCCAGATCTTTAAAAACAGATGTGTAAACACAAATGTGTAAAACAGATGTGTAAAACAGATGTGTAAAACAGATGTGTAAAACAGATGTGTAAAACAGACGTGTAAAACAGATGTGTAAAACAGATGTGTAAAACAGATTTGCATGCAAAACTCAAGTTCTGGAACAAGAGAAAAGTCCAGAAGTGAATGAAAAACCAGGATTTTCCACTTGACCATACAGCCAGAGAACTCTAAGAAAAAGAAGCCAACTTGCCACACATAAATTATACAAAATTGAAATACGTGATTCTATCATACTATTTATTTCCATCTGTTCTGCCTAGGCACCAGTTAATGAATGTTCCTAGCTTGTAGTAATTGCCTCTGTTGTTATCCATGTTTTCACTCCATACACCAGTACTGATCTGACATTGGAATTTCAAGTTGCTTTCTGTTCGGCCAGCCATGCCCCTGTGACAGCTGCTATCTTTATTGCCATGCTAGAACTAGCTAAACTAAATGCCTACTTTTCTTCTTTTACTGTCGGTTGTTACCTTTACTGTCAATCATTACCTTTAGTGTCAAGAAGATAACTAAATGAAGACATTGCTTACCTTTAGTGTCAACAAGAAAACCAAATAAAGACATTGCTTACCTTTAGTGTCAAGAAGATAACTAAATGAAGACAGTCATTACCTTTGGTGTCAACAAGATAACTAAATAAAGACATTGCTTACCTTTAGTGTCAACAAGATAACTAAATGAAGACAGTGCTTACCTTTAGTGTCAAAAAGGTAACTAAATGAAGACAGTGCTTACCTTTAGTGTCAACAAGATAACTAAATGAAGACATTGCTTACCTTTAGTGTCAACAAGGTAACTAAATGAAGACATTGCTTACCTTTAGTGTCAACAAGATAACTAAATAAAGACATTGCTTACCGTTAGTGTCAACAAGATAACTAAATGAAGATATTCGCTTACCTTTAGTGTCAACAAGATAACTAATAACATTGCTTACCTTTAGTGTCAAAACCTAAAAAGAACAGTGCTTAGTGTCAAGAAGTAACTAAAGAAGACATTGCTTACCTTTGACAAGACGTTGAACGCGTGCCTCCAGTTGTGGTAAGCCACGTTCCTGTAGTTCTTCCTCACAGTCAGCAGCCAGCGGCAGAGAGTCTGTGAGCGGAGTACAAGTAAAGGGCTCTGGTCACACAACCCTGCACACTCGAACATCTGATCATAAACTCATATTTTACTGATTTTGGTGGCTGATGAGGCCCCACCCTCTCTCACACCCCGATGTTACCGGTTATATCCTGGGTTTTACCCTGCCAGGACATTACACCGAGCAATTAACACCCTGCCAGGACATTACACTGAGCAATCAACACCCTGCCAGGACATTACACCGAGCGATTAAATCCTTGCCAGGACATTACACTGAGCAATCAACACCCTGCCAGGACATTACACCGAGCGATTAACACCTTGCCAGGACATTACACTGAGCAATCAACACATTGCCAGGACATTACACTGAGCAATCAACACCCTGTCAGGACATTACACCGAGCGATTAACACCTTGCCAGGACATTACACTGAGCAATCAACACCCTGCCAGGACATTGCACTGAGCAATCAACACCCTGCCAGGACATTACACTGAGCAATCAACACCTTGCCAGGACATTACACTGAGCAATCAACCCCTTGCCAGGACATTACACTCAGCAATCAACACCCTGCCAGGACATTAAACCGAGCTATAAACACCCTGCCAGGACATTACACCGAGCGATTAACACCCTGCCAGGACATTTCACGGAGCGATAAACACCCTGCCAGGACATTACACCGAGCGATTAACACCCTGCCAGGACATTACACCGAGCGATTAACACCCTGCCAAGACATTACACCGAGCGATTAACACCCTGCCAGGACATTACACAGAGTGATTAACACCCTGCCAGGACATTACACAGAGCGATTAACACCCTGCCAGGACATTACACCGAGCGATTAATACCCTGCCAGGACATTACACTGAGCGATTAACACAATGCCAGGACATTACACAGAGCGATTAACACCCTGCCAGGACATTACACAGAGCGATTAACACCCTGCCAGGACATTACACCGAGCGATAAACACCCTGCCAGGACATTACACCGAGCGATTAACACCCTGCCAGGACATAACACCGAGCGATTTACACCCTGCCAGGACATCATACTGAGCGATTAACACCCTACCAGGACATTACACCGAGCGATAAACACCCTGCCAGGACATTACACTGAGCGATAAACACCATGCTAGGACATTACACCGAGCGATAAACACCATGCTAGGACATTACACCGAGCGATAAACACCCAGTGACACAAAGTGCTACCATACAGATGAGGATCACCTACGGACAGGTCCCAGAAACCCCGTTTAAACCATAGGCTGGGTTATATTAGGGCCCCCCCCCCCCCCCCCTTCCCTCCCGGCAACAGCCAGTGAGTGGCTTCAAATAATGACACAGATCCCCAGATCTCGGTCCTTCTTATATTGAATAAATTCCACCGTTGATAGGCCACCATGCCATCGTTCAGGCCATCAAGTATCGCCTTTCCTGCTGTCTGTCTCACTTAACGTTCATTCTTCCAATTATCACGCGGGTCTTCAATACCTCACGTTTGATTCACATGACAAAAGAACATTGACTTTCGCTTTCTTTAATTTGTATACAGTTTTTCTAATTTCATCTGCCATTTCCAAGCTGATGCTGTTAATCTCCTCTGCCCGTGGTATCCGCAATATGCGTCTCAGAAACTACAACCACACGATCTCCAAATTCTTCTCGAATTCCAACAGAAGATATTGGACCCGCAAGCTGACGGCCTACTATGCAGGACCAAGGCTTCCCATGAGGGGAGAGAACCAATAACCTGCTACAACAGCACCACGAGGTGAGGACACACGACTCGCTACAGCAGCACCAAGGGGATAGAATCCACGACCTGCTACAGCAGTACCAAGGGATGAGAACCTACGACCTGTTACGGCAGCACCAAGGGGTGAGAACCCATGACCTGTTACAGCAGCATCAAGGGGTGAGAACCCATGACCTGCTACAGCAGCATTAAGGGGTGAGAACCAATGACCTGCTACAGCAGCACCAAGGGGTGAGAACCAATGACCTGCTACAGCAGCTCCAAGGGGTGAGAACCCATGACCTGCTACAGTAGTACCAAGGGGAGAGAACCCACGACCTGCTACAGTAGTACTAAGGGGAGAGAACCCATGACCTGCTACAGTAGTACTAAGGGGAGAAAACCCACGACCTGCTACACCAGTACCAAGGGGAGAGAACCCACGACCTGCTACAGTAGTACTTAGGGGAGAGGACCCACAACCTGCTACAGTAGCACCAAGGGGAGAAAACCAATGACCTGCTACAGCAGTACCAAGGGGTGAAAACCCATGACCAGCTACAGTAGTACCAAGGGGAGAGAACCAACGACCTGCTACAGCAGCACCAAGGGGTGAAAACCCATGACCTGCTACACCAGTAGTACAAGGGGTGAGAACCCATGACCTGCTACAGCAGTACCAAAGCTTCCCGTGAGTGAAGAGAACCAACGAAGTGCTACAGCAGCACCGAGGGGAGAGAATCCACAACCTGCTACAGCAGCACCAAGGTTTCTGTCTGTGTCAACACAGAAGGTCTTAAATCTGGCGTTGTTCCCATGTCTGACCCATAGTATCCAAGCCAACTAGATACAAACTGAAACATCTTGCTAGATTCAGACTAAAACGTTTCACTAAGCACACACTGATTGACACTGCACAGTTACCGAAACAGCCCCGTAATTAATTCACAAAGCAACATTCAAGTTACTGAATTTAGACCGAAACATTTAACTAACTAGGGGAGTCAAATGTTTGAAGCTCAAGGCTTTTTGAGCACCCCCCCCCCCCCCCCCGGGTAAATTTGGAAGTGCAGAGAGCCCTTCTAAACATAAAGAAGCTGGGGACGCTACAGCCTGGTAGTATTGCACCTCCCCCCCCCCCCCCCCCCAATAAAATTAGGTAGAAAGTGATGTCCGCCCAATGTTTTATTCGTCTCGTCGCCTCTGACACAAACTGACCTCGTTCTCAATGCGAAACTTTCGAATTAATCCCAGGTCGGCAAAGATGCGAACTGTGGCCATCATCATCTGGTCGTTGTCCAGGGAGAAGTCGTTGAAGCGCAGGTCTTTGAGGTTGAGCTCCTTGGCTTCCGGTACCGACTGTTGCTGTAAACACCAGAGACGTTTGAGAATGAAGCATTGCAGATAGAAAGTGTAGGTAGTAGGACAACAGAAGAAGTAGTACAGCAATCACACCGTTGAAAATTAGGGCCTTTATCACGTAACATTGCCAAAGACGTCAGTGGTACAACCAAAGCCAGATTGTATTGTGCAGACCACGCATAGTATAGTATCATTAATATTATTATTATCATCATCATCATCGTTTGCACACTGTGCCACCCAAGTAAAAGCACTCAAAGACAGATTGTGCCATTCGCATTCCTGTTCACTTAAAACAGTGAAAGTAAACAGATATATCTTCAGCCAACTTCGTTCCATCAAAATTGTACGGGCATGACAGCAACCAGATAATAACTTCTGCTTTTATTAGAGGCTCTAGCAGGGAAGTTTGAGTGCTAGGGAGAAGGAGAAGGAAGTGGAAGAAGATTACCTAGCGTGGAATAAGCTCGAGACTGTGTGATTTCTGTGCCGACAATCTAGTCAATCATGGTGGTTTATTGATTCGGTAAATAATGCAGACAAACATCGGCTTTGAAATTCACACCGAGAGATTGTAAAGAAACTAATGCCCCGGATGTGTGAGGCGATAGGGAAGTGCTCTTGTACGGTGTTTTCTCTCACGTTTGTATGAGTGAGCCAACAAGTTTGTGTGTGCGTGTGTATGCATGTGCATGTCTGTAGAGGCAATGGGACAGTCTTCGCGTAGAGTGATTTCTTGTGTGTGTGTGTGAGTGTTTGTGAATGTGTGTGTGTGTGTGTGCGTGTGTATGCATGTGCATGTCTGTAGAGGCAATAGGGCAGTCTTCGCGTAGAGTGATTTCTTGTGTGTGTGTGTGTGTGAGTGTTTGTGAATGTGTGTGTGTGATTGTGTGTGTGTGTGTGTGTGTGTGATTATGTATGTGTGTGTGTGTGTGTGTAGAAGAAATAGGAAAGTCTTAGTGTATAGTGTTTTATTCTTTGTGAGTGTGTCTGTGTGTGTGTGTGAGTGTGTCTGTGTGTATGTATGTCTGTGTGTGTGTGTGTGTGAGTATGTCTGTGTGTGTGTGTGTGAGTGTGTCTGTGTGTATGTATGTCTGTGTGTGGAAGGGGGTGGGGAGGGAGGGGACAGGTTATAGGCTATAGAAAAGTCTATTTGTGCAATGTCTGTCTGGCGTTTTATTTGTTGTCTGTCAATATGGAAGTTGCGTGCGAGCAACATCTAGCAGACTATGGCGGCTAAATGAATGTCGATAGTGTTTCATCTTCCAAACCTTCTTCCTTTTTTTTTTTTTTTAATTTGCTACCTTCTTTTAGCCCGCCATCCCTCTTGCCTCACATTCTTTCTCGCCTTGTGTAACTGTCTCAGTCCAAGTGGCTCCCTATCTCGTAGCTTTATTTTCTCCCTCATTCACATCTCATTTTTTTTTTCACCTTTCTTCTCTTTGTCCCAGGTGTTTCGCAACAACTACCTCTTCCTATTCCCCCCCCCCCCCCACACCCCCACCCACTTCCTTTTACTCCGGTATTTATGTATCGTGTCAGCACTTAGTCTGAACGCAAGTGTACAGAACTTATTATCAGAAGTGCAAACTTCCAGAGAATTCACAGCCAATGAAAACCGTTGTTACACATCAATTAATCAGTCTTCGCCTTCATCCCAACGTTCAGCGATTGCTAACTGGAATTGGAATGTCCTGGTTGTTCGTCCACTTCTGAAGTGTGATCTTGTTCTAGAAGTTTAGTTTTGTGTCTCTTTAACAGATATGGTTTACTTGTACACAAATTCCTGATTGAACGTCTACGATTTTGAAGAATAGTCCCAAGATAGCTGCCTTATACAATCCTGATACTACTACAAACATGTTGGGGGTAAAATGTCATCCCCACTCCCTCAAAAAGGGCATAAGAATTAACATGAGAAAATTAATGAATTAATAAAATAACTTTTCAAGCAAATCGAAAAATCTATTATAAACTCAACTCCAAGAAAGAAAAACAATTCATCACTCGAGTTCCATGAAAAAACGCAGTTCCATGAAATAACTGAGTTCCATGAAATAACTGAGCTCCATGAAATAATTGAGTTCCATGAAATAATTGAGTTTCATAAAATAACTGAGCTCCATGAAATAACTGAGCTCCATGAAATAACTGAGTTCCATGAAATAACTGAGTTCCATGAAATAACTGAGTTCCATGAAATAACTGAGCTCCATGAAATGAGTTCCATGAAATAACTGAGCTCCATGAAATAACTGAGCTCCATGAAATAACTGAGTTCCATGAAATAACTGAGCTCCATGAAATAACTGAGTTCCATGAAATAACTGAGTTCCACGAAATAACTGAGCTCCATGAAATGAGTTCCATGAAATAACTGAGTTCCATGAAATGAGTTCCATGAAATAACTGAGTTCCATGAAATAACTGAGTTCCATGAAATAACTGAGCTCCATGAAATAACTGAGCTCCATGAAATAACTGAGTTCCATAAAATAACTGAGTTCCATAAAAAAACTGAGTTCCATAAAAAAACTGAGTTCCATGAAATAACTGAGCTCCATGAAATAACTGAGCTCCATGAAATAACTGAGTTCCATAAAATAATTCAAAAAGGTGCAGTATAAACCCCAAAAATAGCTTGATTGCTTTTTTAAATGTTTTTTCTTCTTCATCTAACAAAGCCGAGGACAACACATCTTTGCCTTTTGCTGAGGGATGTTCTCAACAATAGGCTGGAGTGTAGGCAGAATCTGAGAAATGTTTACTCAAAATGCACCAATGCCCTGGCAAATATTCAGAGAGGCAACCAGGCACAGATGTTCAACTGTGATCAACCAGGCACAGATGTTCAACTGTGATCAACCAGGCACAGATGTTCAACTGTGATCAACCAGGCACAGATGTTCAACTGTGATCAACCAGATTTCCAGAAGACCTGCCATATATTTCAATGCAAC